CTGTAAGTAACAAAAAGTTCAAAAACTTTAAAAAAAGAACCAGTTAATGTACAAAAACTTGACAGGAAAGAAAAAAGATTTATTAATTTATGTTATTCACTTATTTTATTGGCTTGTGTTTTTAATAAAAACACCATTGGCTAATGTACTACTATAAATATATATATATATATATATATATATATATATATATATATATATATATATATATATATATATATATATATATATATATATATATATATATATATATATATATATATATATATATATATAACAAAAAATGAACATGTATAAGTTTTTTATTTTCATATTTAATATTAAATTGATAACACATTAGTAACTATAGTAATTAAAATTTAGTAATAAAGGTTACTATATGTTACAGATTAGTAACTTAATCATTTTACCTTAACAACTCCTGGCATTCTAAAAGGAAGTCTCCTCACTACGTTAACAGTATCTGCAGACTGTGGTGGTTTATTGAAACCTATAGGAGGTGGAGAAGAAGGATTCGGAAAGTAATTCCTTTGAAATTGATCATTAGAATCTTCATAAAAGTTTTGTGATTGTGGTGCATTTTCTAAAATTAATTTACTTCAAAATCAATTGTGTAAATAATGTACTTCATAAATAATTGTAGAGACCAGACCCTGAATAAACTTGAAAATAAAAAAAGAATTGTTATTGTTATTATTAAGTCACACAATTGCATTTTTGTTAAATAAAATCTCTTTGATCATATCTTTTTCAGCTAGTAACAGTTACTTTGAAGTCAGTTGTGGCTAAGTACATTACCAATACCACAAAGCAGATGTGGCTAACCAATACCACAAAGCAGTAAAGAAATTGCAAAAAAATGTAGAGTTGTTAAACTAATAATTTTAACTAATTAAAATAGATATTTGAGCTATAGAAAGTAGGGATGTACCGAAGCTTCGGCTTCGGCTTCGGCGTGCCGAAGCTTCGGTTCGGCCGAAGCCAGGTCAATTTTTTGCCGAATCTTTGGCTTCGGCAAAAAATTTTAAGTAATTAAAGTTATAAGCTACTGTGGGACAAGTTATAAAAATAAGCTAATTGCCAGTGTCTAATAAAGTTATAAATTTAGGACTACAGAGTTAAAGTTGGAGTCTATACCATATACTTAGTATTATTTACTCCCAAGTGTCTTGTTATGGAGGGGATAATAATAAATAAGTAAAAATGTTTTGAAAAAATAATAAAATTAGGGAAGGTCCTCATACACTTTGAAAGCTTCCAAGTGTGACTTTAGATGAACTGAAGCAGCATTTCTATGCAGAATAAAAACCTTATAATTTAAAACAAATTAAAAGTTTTTAAAACCTTAATTTGTATTATGTAACGAATTCATATTAATTATTGTGTGGGATTACTGCAAATAGAACAAAATTTGGTTTCAACATTTGACCGATAAACCTTAGTAATCTCTCTTTAAAGAAGATTAAAGATACGTTGCTACTATTTTAAATTGTGTGTATGTTTAATTTTTTAAAATTTTATTTAACCATATTAATACAAATTTTCATCGTAAACTTACAAAAATTGGTTAGGTGTCACTTATATAGATACAAAAATAGTCAATGGAGTGACACATAAAAAACATAAAGTTCTCAACAACAAAAAAAGGAAAAAAAAGCAAATGAAATATGAACGAGGAGAATAAAAAAAGAAAAAAAAAGCCAACAAAAACTAGATAAATTAAAAGAAAAAGAAAAACAATGATAATAACTATCCTTGCTCTTTTATTAATATTATGAATACTTCTAAATTGAATTTATATATTAAACATGTAAACCAATATTCTGGTTTCTTCTTATGATATTATATAGACTTTTAAATTTTGTTTAAAATAAATTAAAGGTTGAAGCTTTGATTACATTGAGCTCTTATATTTATCATCAAAATTTATTTCAATTAAATAAACAATTTAAATCAAATAAATATCAGCCTGCTCAGTCCCTGTTTATTTATAAATATAAAGTAAATAATAATATAATTATAAATAAAAAATTTATAAAGTATTCTATTTATTATTTTATTTAAAGCTCACTCTACAGAGTTGTTAGATTACTATGGAAGCTTTTATCGCAGATAGTTAATATTTGATTTCAGATACCGATGCAGATTTATCCATTATAGAGACAGAAGAAGAATGAATACTAAGATTTCAAAGTGTAAAAGATTAAAAAAAGCTATAGAAAATGTTATGAAGTGTAAAGTTAAAAATAATAAAAAAAAAATACTTAAAAGTGTGTAAAAAAGAAGTTAGAGAGAAATCTATCATTTGTACTTTTTTTTAGCACCAGGTTCACAACAGTTGTAGTGGAATCCAAAATGGTCTTAACTTGGGTTTTTTTCAGTTTAGAAATTGTTCGTTTAAGGAATACAGAGAAGTAAAAAAAAGATATTGAAATAAATAGCAATAAAAAGATAAAGTGTGTTTCTAAGATTTTTTCTGTTGTAGATACAACAAGATCAGCTAAGAGTGTTTATTTAAAGAAAGAGTGATCAAGTGCAAAAGATAAATTTACTCTAGTAATGTTCAGAGATTTTTATCCATTTCTATTAACAAAAGGTGCATTAAAAATAAAAATAAAATATACAGCACATGAAAAAATGCTATATAACATTAAAATGGTTTGCACACAGAAAAAGTAGAACTAGAAGTAGGAAAATTTGGGGAGAATGTTTCAAAAAAGCTTAAGTTTAAAAAAAAAACGCTCGGTGCGGTCAAGAATCAGAAACGACATAATGAGAAATATTTAAACAGGGGCGCTGAGAGCTTTTGGCCTGCCCGGAACAGCAACCCTGACTGGCGTCCTCACTTTTATACGATTTTTCTATATTATTAGTCAAGGACCATAGTTTTGGTAGCTCTTTTGTTTTATACCCCTGCTGATCTGAATGCTGATTAAATTTTAAGCATATATAGTGCCGAAGCTTCAGCTTCAGCCGAAGCTTCGGCTTCGGCAAAGTGGCTTCGGCCGAAGCTTCGGCTTCTGCAAAATTTCAGCTTCGGTACATCCCTAATAGAAAGAGATATAACATATACTAACAATACAAAAAATAATTAATATATTTATTTTTCAAGTTATTTTTCTGAGTTTAGTTTCTTTTACATTTTCTTTAATTTTCACTAGTAATGAGTTGTTACAATTTATTTAAGTAAACTTTTTTTGTTTAATTTTTATATTATCCATAAAAAATGTATATTTTATATTTTTTATTTTTATCTTTATATATAAATATTTATATATTATCCATAAAAGCTTTAACTTAAATGAAATATTAAAAACATATAAAATGTGTGATGTAAATATATGTACAAAATTAATTTTAATACAGCTTAAAATAACTTTTAGATTGATTTAGTATTCTATATGTTTGAGTATTCTATATGTTTGAGTATTCTATATGTTTGAGTATTCTATATGTTTGAGTATTCTATATGTTTGAGTATTCTATATGTTTGAGTATTCTATATGTTTGAGTATTCTATATGTTTGAATATTCTATATGTTTGAGTATTCTATATGTTTGAGTATTCTATATGTTTGAGTATTCTATATGTTTGAGTATTCTATATGTTTGAGTATTCTATATGTTTGAGTATTATATGTTTAGGGTTTCTAAATTAATTCCATCTAAGCATAAGATATTTGGTTTGATTTTAGATTATTAAAATAACCTTTAACTTTCTCAATAAAACCTAAGTTTTTTCTAAAAACATGATAACAAGTTGCAATACTCACTATAACTATAGCAAATTATGATAGAATTCAAATACCACATGTTAGAATGCGTAACAAACTATTAAAATATGTTTGAGTATTATATGTTTAGGGTTTCTAAATTAATTCCATCTAAGCATAAGATATTTGGTTTGATTTTAGATTATTAAAATAACCTTTAACTTTCTCAATAAAACCTAAGTTTTTTCTAAAAACATGATTACAAGTTGCAATACTCACTATAACTATAGCAAATTATGATAGAATTCAAATACCACATGTTAGAATGCGTAACAAACTATTAAAAAAAAAACCTTTAAAAAAACTAACCAGTTCTTTTTACATTAAAAAGTTCATTTTGAACATATTGCTGTTGTTGCGAAAGTTGGTTCATAAGCATTAACTGTGGGTCGGTTGAATGAACATTTGAATAAATGTGATTATGATTGTACGCAATTTCATTTGGTATGCGATTTGGATAAAAGCCTCCACCTTTTAATTGGTTCTAAAATCAGTTAATTGATGTAAATTTATGTAATATTACTAAATAACTACTTAGCTTTGTGATAATGGGTGGAAATCAAAAAAATTGTATCAAGAAACTTTTCTAAACTATAATAAAAAAAATAAGTTACATAACATAATAGGTTATATCTATATATATATATATATATATATATATATATATATATATATATGTATATATATATATATATATATATATATATATATATATATATATATATATATATATATATATATATATAATATATATATATATATATATATATATATATATATATATATATATATATAATATATATATATATATATATATATATATATATATATATATATATATATATATATATATATATATATATATATGTATATATATATATATATATATATATATATATATATATATATATATATATATATATATATATATATATATATATATATATATATATATATATATAAGCCTTATATATATATATATATATATATATAAGGCTCAATTTAATGGTCAGACATTGGACATTGTCCGGCTAAAACCTCAGATTGTCCGATCAATTTACAAAGTAATCGGACATTTTTTCCAACAGGAATCAAATTCTACAAAATAAATATTGGACAGGAACAGGGCGCAATTTACACTATTCCTGACCACGCAAATGATTTTTTTGTTTACAACTTGACCACAACTGTTTAGATGTTTTGATGATTTAAATGTTTCAGAAATGGGCTGAAAAAAGGTTTAAGCTAAACTAAATTGGAAAAATTTGGAAAAATTAAAAAAAAAATTAAAAAATTATTAATTAAAACAAATTAGCTTTAAAATAAAACTATAAAAATTCGAAATTAAAAATACTTTTTGTTATGTTTTTAATGGCATTTGAAAAAAATTACTTTAAAAACTTATCTTTTAAAGGTTTACTTAAAGTTACGCAAAACGCTTTTACAAAAAACGCTGTTACTTTTATTGATTGATGATTACAGTTATATAAATAAACAAACTTTATTTAAGTTATTGAAAAGTTAAATTAAATTATTGAAAAGAAAAAAATATATTATTTTTAAGTTGTAAAAACATTTTTAAAAAGTTGAAAAAAAAATTGTTTAAAAAAAGTAACGTAGTCTTTTTAAAATCGTAATTTTTAATCATTTCATGCTTTAATTAGTATATCAAAAAAAAAAAACTTTTCTTACAAAACAATTCTTATTAAAGTAAAAACAAAAGCAACAAAATAAAGCAATTAAATCATAAAGGTTTAATTTAACTTTTAACTTATTCATAATTTAAGGTAACTTAAAAAGTTAATCTTTTAAAAGATTTTAAGAAAGACATGGAAAAATAGTTTCAAACATTTAATTTAAGCAAAAAAAAAAAAAAAAAAAAGATCAATGTTTAAAAGTTATTTGTAACGTAACGATATTTTTCATTGCACCTAAATTATTAAAACATCAAAATGGCCGTTGTCAAATTGTAAAGAAAAGAAAAAAAAAAGCGTTGTTAGTTACAGAGTGAAAATTTAAGTCTATTTAAAAAAGCATACAATATTAAATTGAAATTATTTTATTAAAAAACAAAAATCTGTGATGAAATACTCTAAATAATAAGGAAAGAAACTACGACTTCACTAGACTAACATTGAATAAACTAAATAACAACAAAGATTTCTATAGCATAACTCGGTCAGGGACGCTGAGAGCTGTCACGTCGCCTAGGACAGCAATCTGCAATGGCGCCCTTATTTATCAAACTTTTCTTATATTATATATGAAGGAACTTTTTTTTTATTTAGGTACCTACATTTTATTTGGCACCCCTTGGATATCTCCCACAAAACCGAAGAAATCATATTTTGGAAATTTGATCGGACGCTGTCTACCCAAACAAGTTTTGATCTGACATTTTGTGAGATCAAAACTTGTTTGGGTAGTTATATATATATATAGGGCTCAGTTGACAAACTGAGCCCTATATATATATATACATATATATATATATATATATATATATATATATATATATATATATATATATATATATATATATATATATATATATATATATATATATATATATATATATATATATATATATATATATATATATATATATATATATATATATTTTATATATATATATATATATATATATATATATATATATATATATATATATATATATATATATATATATATATATATATATATATATATATATATATATATATATATATATATATATATGTATATATATATATATATATATATATATATATATATATATATCTATATATATATATATATATATATATTATATATATATATATATATATATTATATATATATATATATATATATATATAATATATATATATATATATATATATATATATAATATATATATATATATATAGAATTTGCTATTAGAACTCACTAGTAGTTTTTTATTTTGAAAAATTTCTTCATTTTCATCAGCAAAAACTGGCTCAAAGATGTTGTCAACAAATGCAGATACTCCTGATCCATGCGTTCCATAAGATGTAGGTCTATCATAACCTTTTTGATGTTCAAATCGATTAGCAATATTTGCAAACCGGTTCTTTGAAGACTTAGAAAGAGAAGCACTTAAAGGACTCAGTATTGAAGGTTGTAACTTCTTAGTTCCTCTTGGCAAAGTTTGATCATTTGCACGAATATCTCCAGACAAATCAATAATTTCTTGACTTCGTGCAATAATATCAGAAACAGATCTGCCTTGATATTTTCCTGAATAATTTCCTGTTTTTTCTGAGGAAGGATTTTTTGTTGCTAATTCATAAGAACCATTTGCTGCACTTTTGTCACGTTTGAATTTTATTTCATTTGATCGTTGCAAAACCTCCTCCATATCCCATGGAGGTTTTGGAATATTTTTTTTGTTTAAAGTATTTGCTCTAGATGAGGCAGCAGAATTTGGGTGGGATGCTGATGGCATAATAGGAGGAGGTGGTGGGGCAGGTGGAGGAGGAACTTTTTTTCGATGAACACGCTGCATAAAAACTTCTTCTAACTCGTTCGGTTGATTGTTTAAATAAACTGCATCATTGAAACGCTGATATGGATCACGAAGATAAGACTCTTGATTAAAATATCTAGACCTTATTTGGTTTTCATTGTTGAAATAAGATGGTAGCTGTGTAGAAGGTTTATAAAAAAATCTGTCATCAGGCAAAAAAAATAGATCTTGGCCACTAGCTCTTCGAGATGCAAGGAAAGGTATCTCATTATTTTCATCCTGATGGTAAACAAGAGGCTGTGAAGATAACTCATCTGAATATGCTTGTCGTAAACGTTCCAACCGTGTACGATGAGTATATGATTTGTGAGCTCTACATAAAATGAACAAACATTAATATAAATAAAAAATATCATAATATTTAAATATATATATATATATATATATATATATATATATATATATATATATATATATATATATATATATATATATATATATATATATATATATATATATAAATATATATATATATATGTATATATGTATATATATATATACATACATATATATATATATATATATATATATATATATATATATATATATATATATATATATATATATATATATATATATATATATATATATATATATATATATTATATATATATATATATATATTAGGGTGGTGCTTAAAACAACTTTTTTGAGAAAAACCTGCTGGTACCCCCTAAATGTGTTTTATCTAATACAAAAACACTAGGTTTAAAATTTTTTTGAACAAAAAATATTTTTAGGGGTAGCTCAAGGCCCTCAAAAATTTGACGGGTCCCTAATATTTTGAAAAAAAAACTTTTTCTAAAGTATGTCAACCTGGTACTCAAAATAAGCAAAATTATATAAAAAATTTAAAAATGAAAATAATTTTTTATAAAAATAATTTTTTCAGGTATAAATGCATAAAAACTATTGTTTTTAAGCTGAAAATAAAAAAAGTCAATATTTTCAGGTTTTTTAAGAATAATTTTTTTTTGGCATGTTTTTTATGTAAAATGATTATTATTTTTGAAGTTTTTATATAATATCGCTTCTTTTGAGTACCAGGTTGACATACTTTAGAAAAAGTTTTTTTTCAAAATATTAGGGACCCGTCAAATTTTTGAGGGCCTTGAGCTACCCCTAAAAATAATTTTTGTTCAAAAAAATTTTAAACCTAGTGTTTTTGTATTAGATAAAACACATTTAGGGGGTACCAGCAGGTTTTTCTCAAAAAAGTTGTTTTAAGCACCACCCTAATATATATACATAAAAAAGAGCTGTATTTATAAATTTTTGTATAAATAAAACTAAATATTTTTTACAACTACTAGTCTCATGCTAAAGGCAGTCATCAAGTAAAAATCTGATTTTCTCATAGAAAAATAATTCTGTACAAAAAAAAATGCTTTGGAAAAATCTAATCTTTTGTTTTGTGGTTGTCGAGCAAAAAAAATGTTGAGCGTTCTGATAAACATAGGCAAAACTTTCTTACAACTAATCGACAAACACTTTTAAAAACCAAATCCGCTTCATAAACTGTGGTTAAACAATCATAACACAATAAATGTCAGCTACAGCTGCACGAGCAACATTGCAAAAATTATAAAGAATTACAACAATAAAATTATTTCGATGATCCCAATTTCCGTTTTAGCTTGCAATTGTAAACTAAACAAAACCAACAATGGCTTATACGAATGCTTATCTGCTTAAAATAATAAATTTATTGTATAAAAATCCCAAAGAATTATTAAACAAAAAAAGTGAACTAATATCCAAGTGTCGCCATGAGAACAAATTTTTGCTGGACAACCACAAACCAAAAGATTAGATTTTTTTAATGCATTTTTTCTTGTACTGAATTATTTTTCCAGAAGAAAAAATCAGATTTTTACCTGATGATTGCATTTAACATGAAACTTATAGTTGTAAAAAAAAATAGCATCGATATTTTTTTAAATACATTTCGATAGCATCAACTGTATTTGGGAGCTGATTTGGGCGCCACCCAATTTAAAATATGAGGTGCTCTTTTTTTTTCTTTTTTTTTAACGTTTTTTTTAGGTTTTTATGGCAAATAATGTTTTTTTCGCAGTAAAAATTGACGATTTTCTGCTAAAATTTGTTAGAATGAGGGGGGAGCGCCATCCAAATTTTTTTTCAGGTCAGCAGTTAGGTCGGCATTGCCCAATACCAACCTTAATTACAAGGGTTGATATACGAGGTCAGCAATTTTAGCCATATATACAACCTCAAAGAAGTTTATACGAACTGTATTTATTGAATTTTATCATATTTTTTACATTGTATTGTATAACAAGAAAATGACTTTTAAAGAATATATATATATATATATATATATATATATATATATATATATATATATATATATATATATATATATATATATATATATATATATATATATATATATATATATATATATATATATATATATATATGTATGTATGTATGTATGTATATATATATATATATATATATATTATATATATATATATATATATATATATATATATATATATATATATATAGATATATATATAGATATATATATATATATATATATACATATATATATAAATATATATATATATATATATATATATATATATATATATATATATACATATATATATATATATACATACATACATATATATACATTCATACATTAGCTGTCAGGACCCATTAAATACAGGTCTTGGTAAGTCTATTTCACACCAACCATTTTATGTAGAAAAACTACAGTGGAGAAAACAAAATTAGCCTTGCCATGTTCTAATCCCATATTTTGTAAATCTGTAAGCAAGTTTGGGCATTAATAATTACTTCAAGATGGGCATTAATTATGGAGTTTATTAAGGAAGTGGTAGCAAACGTAAAATGGATAATTGAACTAAACGAACTATTGTACCCAATGCTGCTGCTCAGCATATGACTGCATCTTGAATTTGTGCTGATTTACAATTACTTGTAACTGTTCAGAGGGACACATGTAAGACAAATCTTACATGAAGATACACAATTTGGAAAAAGCATAAACCAAAACCAAAACTTACTGTTTGTCATAAAGAAGCTAGATTACAACTGGTAAAAGAACACATGCCTTGGAAGGAATAGTGGCATCAAGTTAGAACTAGAAATGAAAAAAAGTTTAATGTTGATGGCCCTGATGGATATCAATATTACTGACTGATCTTCAAAAAGATGATCAAAATAAAAAAATGATCTTCAAAAAGAGAAAGAAACTCAGATGAGTTGTAACTTAGGTGATGGAAATGTTATAGTTTGGGGGGCTTTTTCCTTTGCTAGAAAATTTTCACTGGCATGGATTTTAACAAAAATGAATTCACATGACTACATTGACTTTGTTAGAAATTAGTTTGCTTGAACAAGGTGAAGAATTAATGGGTGAAAATTTCACTTTTCAACAAGACAATGCTGCTATCCATAATTCAAATCTAATAAAAGCTTAACTTAGAGAAAAAAATATTCAAGTAATGGAATGGTCGACATGCAGTCCAGATCTAAATCCAATTGAAAATCTACAGGAAATACTTTCTAGAAAGGTTTATGAAAATACTAAGCTATTTGAATCCACATTGGAGTTAAAAACTCTTATCAGAGAAGCTTGGAATGAAATATCTATAGAAACTATCCAAAATCTTGTGACTAGTATCAGCATATTTGAAGTCATTAAAAATTTAGGAAGCAATACTAAATATTAAATGAGCATAAAAACGAAATATTTTCTGTTTTTTCTTGTATATAAAGTAGCAGAGTTAGAGCGCTTGCTTCATATACGAGAGGTTCCAAGTTGGATCCCCTCCACGTCCCTGGTAGTACAGTGCTCAACTCGTTTCTCCGCGCAGTGGCATTGTTTGTCAAGGTTCGTGTTTTGTTATTGAGTTGAGAGAGGGTTATAACCACAAATAAGTAGCCTCCTCTTCTGTAGTGACCTTTTTGGCCTTGAGGAGGTGAATTATCAACAAACAAACAAAAAAAGAGGTTAGTTCTGTTTTCTCCACAAATTGAATACTTATAATTTATTTTATACCAATTTGGATCATATATATATATATATATATATATATATATATATGTATACATATATTTTTATATATACATATATATATATATATATATATATATATATATATATATATATATATATATATATATGTATACATATATTTTTATATATACATATATATATATATATATATATATATATATATATATATATATATATATATGTATACATATATTTTTATATATACATATATATATATATATATATATATATATATATATATATATATATATATATATATATATATATATATATATATATATATATATATATATATATATACATATATATATATATATATATATATATATATATATATATATATATATATATATATATATATATATATATATATATATATATATATATAAAAGAAGTTTCAGTTTTTGTTTTTATTTACATATTTTAACACTTACTCTATAATGATTTCTTTTCGGCCTGGAGGCATTGGATTAGCTCTATCTAATGAAATGCAGGTGTGCGCCATGCTACAAGGAAATCCTAGAGGTTGTTCTAAAGTAGATATAAGATCAAGAATTGTATCATCCCCACAAAGATCAAGACGACATGATCTTTCAAATTGCAAATAGAATGACCAACCCGATACAGCTGGATCAGCAATATCTCTAAATGGTTCAAAAGTAAAAACAATATAAAAATAAAGACTTTTTTTAAATAATTTTTGAAGCATTTAGTTCACATTTAAAATAAAAATTATTTTTATAAGTATTGCTGTTTGGCTTATTATACCTAACGTGTAAGAATGATTTAGCAACATTTTCTCCTAAAGCACTCGATTCTACTTCAATAACCTGTTGGTATCCTATAAATTAACATAAAAGCATATACTATATCATGTTAATGTATGTGCATGTATATATGCATATGTATATATGTATCAGCAGTGTAAGGCTATCACCCCTGAAAGGTGTGGGACAGTTAGGATAACCTGAATCACAAAGGAAATAAATGTCACCCGGCATAATGATAAAATAATTATAAACCATTAAAAGCTTAAAAAACCAAAAAATATTATAAACCATTAAAAGCTTAAAAAATCATGAAGCAAGATTTATGGCTAACTGAATCTATTTACTGGTTATTCATATGACTCAAAGTACCACCCTGCTAATTCTCAGACAATTATAAAAAACACATTGAACTACCTGGATTTTCTTTCTGAGAAACTCTAACGCTTTTCAAACACCCTCAAATGGTTTAGTGTTTTCAAACACCCTTAAATGATTTAGTGTTTTTAAACACCCTCAAATGATTTAGTGGTATTCAATATTGCTTTTCAGCTACAAACAGTAGAAGAATTTATCAAAGCCTCATGTATCGTACTTGGTATCTGTCCCTACAACAAATAATTTTTGATCTGGCTGATAAGGAACTGAAAACCGAAGACCAACATGTTAAACAAGCTACTTTCTTATGATATAACGGATTTAAAAGATCTGGTCAAAAAGAAGCCTGAAACTCATACTGAAATTATTCCAACATCAAAATTGGAAGGCTTTGTCAACAAACAGTCCTACCCTTTTGTTCTTGCGAATGGAGATCACCAATCACTTATTTAATTAATTATTAATTTTCACTACACTAATGTATTTGCACTGATATTAGAGTTTTTATACTTTAGGTACTAACATTGTAGAGTTTTAAATTTATCTTTAGGCACATTAAAGCTAAGGCTATTAATCAAATTAAAATGATTCATAAGGTTAATAACAAATCCAAAATAGCATCAGTTTAGCTTAATTCAAAAACAATTCACATTTCATGGATTAATAATTTAGAAAAACATTTTCTTTTAATTAAGTTTTTTTTTCTAATTTAAATACAAATGTAAATAAATGTAAAAGATCCTATTGCTTAAAGGGATCTCAAACCTCCAAAACATGTTGTGTTCATATTAAAGAGAATGATAAAAAAAATTTTGGGCTAAATTTTCTTGATTAAAACAAAAGAATTAATGCGCACCAAAAAAAACTAACTTTTTTATTTTAATCAAAACTTCCCTTCTTTGTTTTGTTGCAGGCCAAAAAAGCAGCATAATATATGCCCCAACCTACAGACTTGATAATTTATTCAAGGACATTTTATTCCTAAGAGTTTAAGTACATGACGTAATTGTTTTTTTTTTGTTTACATAATCTTTTACACAAACAAAAACAAAAAAACAATGACGCCTTGTACTAAAACTCTTAGGAATAAAATGTGCTTGAATTAATTATTAAGTCTGTAGATTGCAGCGTATATTACGCTATCTTTTTGGCCTACAACAAAATGGAGAAGGCAAGCTTTGACTAAAATAAAAAAGTTAGTTTTTCTTGGTGTGACCCCACAGTTCCCTGTTGTTTTTCTTGTAGTGATCCCGAAAGTTTAATCCCACCACATCCCTGGTAGTACCAGGAACATGGTAGTGCAAAAAAATTTTAAAGCTTCTAAACAGCATTTTTTTTTTAATTATAATTAAAATTTATAAAACAATAAACAGATTAAATGTATTAAACTCAAATCATATACCATCTGCCATTTCACACATCAATGATATATTTGACAACTCTGAAAGAGATTTCCATTCTAGTAGAGTGGGTGGAAATACTCTACCAGTTGAGTTTACATCCCAGCATAATAGCTTGCGTTGAAAAAATGGTTTATATTCATCATAACCATTATCAGAAATATATCTAAAAAATTTTAGAAGCAAAAAGTCTTGTATTGATAATGTATATTAACTTCTTTGGCCACATAAAACATAGTAATACCATATCACTTAATGTATTATATCACTTCACACAGATTATATCTGTGTAAAGTAATATGATACATACATATAAACATATCACATAGTCTGTTGCAGTCTGTATCATGTTAATTCACAAAAAACACATAATCTGTAGAAAAAACACACAGAACACATAGCCTGTTACAGGAATGAAACAGTCTTACTTAAGCAAATATTTATTCATTCGAGAGGATGGAGGAAAACAGCACAAACATAAACCAATAAGAAACCATCCACGATAGAGACTTTGCTCAGATGGATTGTTTTGAGTTTGAAGAACTAACTGTGAATAAATTTCATCACGCAGTTCAGGTTGACGAATCCCCTAAATTAAATAATCAAATAAAACATAAAAGTATATATAATATAATAACATTAATAATAACAAAAACTTAATGAAAAAAAAAAAAAAAAAATTTTTTTTTACTTTTTTTTTATAATTTCATTTTTTTTAAATCAAATTTCATCTAAAATATTTCCTTGAAAATAACCTGTTGTAGCTCTTTGAGACTCTTAAGTCATATTTTTATATGTGTATCAGTAATACAATAGTAGAGCAAGTTAAAACCCCACAACATCCCTCCTAATACCACACTTAACCTATAACTCAGAACAGCTTACATACTCATTGTAACCTCCCTCATCAAAACTTATGTTACAGACTTTTAGGGTTAAGAGGCAGTTGTACAAACATATAAAAACTTTAAGTAAAGTGGCTTCTTATTCTAAGATAGCCTAAATTAAAAAAACTATATGATTACTTTTGACAACATAAAAAAAAATTAATACCTATAAAACATATAAAATTTAGGACATATATAACATACAAAATTTAATACATATAAAACATATAAAATTTAATACATATAAAACATATAAAATTTAATACATATAAAACATATGAAATATTTATATACTTCATACATTTATGTTATTATATGATGTCTATAAAATCAAAATCCAAAAAAGAAATCGCCATTCTTTGAATGGATTTTTGCAAAACAATTTTGTTTATTATAGACAGCAATAATACTAAACTTATTTACAACAGGCAACAATAGTATTAAATATTAGAAAACATGTCACAAATCGTCTTAAAATTAGATTTAACATCTTTTACCATGTAACTAAACAACATGGTTATTGTTATCTGTGTAAAATAGTTTCATTACTTACATGGTTGTTGTTATTTTCAAAAAAATGGCTGTCATAGTATATAAAAAAAAACTCATAAATACTAGAAAAAGAATTTACACCTACTTTGTTTACAATGTAATTTCCTAAAACAATTTGTCTTAAACCATTCATAGTAATATCATCCATGAATCGCATTATCTATTCATAAAACAAAATGTTATAATTAAAGTATAGTTTTACCAAAAGTACAAAATCATGAACAAAAACTTAAGTTTGCAATAAAACTTACAAGTTTAAAACTAATTACGGCTTCAACAATTTCTGTATACTTTTGCTTAAGAAGTGATGTTCTAAGAGGGACTTTTCGATAAGTTATACCAATGTTGTCCTAAAAAATTTATTTTCATAATTTAAAAATAATAGATAAATGAAATGGAAGAATAAATAAGTAGAATGGCTTAATAATCGTATAATTAATAAAAAAAAATTTAATGTTTCTTATGTTTCATTAAAAGATTATGATGATCATTAATCTTATTTTTTTCCTTCGAAACCGAAATTTTTTCAACCTGAAAAAACAACTTGGCAAATTTCGAAAACTGACACAAATCAATATCGCCAGGAAGAGTGCATTCAGCATAATCCCAAGGTGCTACTTTATCAACTGCTATGATATTGTAGTCTAAGTGAATTGGTTCCCAATCTAAATTTAATAATAAGTTATGAACTATGGTTAATTATATATAATTAGCTATTACTTACAACAACAACAAAAAAACGTACGCTTTAATCTGACTAATACGGCTGCAAGATCTGGTGGAATATCAAATCGTGTTATATCAACAACTTTCTCATACTCCTATAAAAATCTTATAAAAGTTAACAAATGTATATTTGTATATGCATTTGTACATTTTTATATGAATATATATATATATATATATATATATATATATATATATATATATATATATATATATATATATATATATATATATATATATATATATATACATATAGAAAAATAGACGGAAAAAACACATTAACATTTTTGTTCAACACTGTGTTTACAAGACTGAAACTTTTTAGTCCCTGTGTAATAAGGTTAAAAGTTCAAAAAATTATCGACCAAGAGGTAATCCACTGATTAGAGTGATAGCCCTCTCATCAAGTACTATTTTGAATAACTTGAAAATTATTGGATCATAATAGTGATGAGAAACAATGAAAAAAAATCCATCGAAACAATCATAAAGAACGCTACCAACGCAGCAATTAAACTTAGAACAAGTACAACAGACACATTTGATAAACTCTACAGGATCAAAACAGCCGATATGATCAAAGTTGCGTTGAAAATTGCCATAATTGAATTGAAGCAACAGCATGATAACGACATCAAAATATTACAAATGAGCAAATCGATGCTTTGGCATACAGACCTCCAGCAGCAAATTCAAGAACAATAAATGAAAAACCATCCTACCTTGACATGGCAAAAAAGGAACCAAATTGTCAACTTAGCAGCAGGTAATATAAAGACAAGAAAGGAGAAAGAGTCAAATGTAGGTCATTGTAGGACTCAAAGAATCAACAAATGTAAGCAATGAAGAGCTCGTCAACGAGTTCTTTGATGCTATCGAAGTGAGTAAAGACAAGATTGTACATGTTCGCCGATACAAAAAGAGAGAAAGGAGACAGAACAGCTCTCAAAAAGGTGAACAAAACACAACAGAGCCAGTCGAGGTTATCCAAGTAGTACTTAAATCTGCCATTCCCCAACGTGAGGCACTGAGAAAGGGTAACTACCACAACATAGAAAAATTTGCACAAGTCTACACACGCGATGACCGAACTCTAGCTGAACAAGAAACAATAAAAAAAGTATTAAACAAGAAAAAGCGAAAGAATAAAGAGGTTGTAAAGGCAAAACTGGATAAGCCCTTTTGCTGGATCATCCACAGCCATACTGGATCTGTGCGATGCATCGATGTCAAACAATCCAGTAACAACAAGAAGTGTATGTGGATCAGCAAAGATCAATTCAACAAAATCAAATAAGTTACCGCCACTAGTAACAACAGCAATCAAAATAATGCTGCAATCACTGCTGCCACACTGGCCACGGCAAGCAAGGCTCAAGCCTAAATCTCATCAACCTGACTCCAATACATTTAATCTCCAATCTTCTGCCACTACCAATAAAGCCAACCGCAAACAATTCAATTTTTGGGCAAATAATCCACGCTCACTGAATGGTGCCAAATAAGATGAGCTGATGGCAAGAATAGACATTGAGAACCAGCAGACAAACCAGATTTGCTCTTCTTTGCAGAGTCATGGTTCACCAACACGTCAGACATTCGACTACCAGGATACCAAACACACAAAAAAAACAGAGGAGGTAGGGGAGGAGGTGTTGCAACATACATAAAAAATGATACACCAGTAGCTAAAACAAATATAGCGCAAGTGAATTCATTGAGCAAGTATGGCAAGTTATAAAGTTAGGTAGAGAGTCGATTCTCCTGGGTTGCATTTATTGTTGGCAGGACAATGACAAAGTAATGCTTAAAAAAAAAGTAATAAAGACAATTGATACTGCAAAGCAAAGCATTTCAAAACTGGAATACTCATTCATGTTAGTCTACAGCAACTTCAACTTCAGTCACACAATATACGAAGAACTTGACTTGGGCGGAGCATCAGTAAATGTTACTCACATGCAAAATGTTCATCTAAGTGATATGTTATTCCAACATGTCTAAATATGAACTTCCTTACACAAATGGTAACATTCCATGCCTATAGAAGAAATAGAGAAGAAGAGCCGAGAAGCACACTTGACTTACTTATCACAGACGAACCAGACCGAATTATCGATATACATAAAGGTGATTCACTAGGTCACACACCAGCAAATGAATCACATTGCTTTATCATTGGTTCATTTGTAACAAACAATGATAGAATGACAGACAACAACGAAAAGAGGTATATATGGACCAAATCAAACTACAATGCCATTTCAGCACAAACAATAGCCATCGATTGGATAAGTATCTTCAATTTTTTTTCAGCTAATGACACCTATAAATTACTAATAGAAAAAGTTAATAAAGCAATCAAAACCCACATACCTGCAACTACGATACCTTTCAAGAGTAAAAAAGAACCATGGAGCACCCCTGAAGTTGAAGTAGCTGTGAGAGAGAAAAGAGCACTATGGCACAAATTGACGCATGAGGAAATTCATAAGGAGTATAAAGCAGTATGTAAAAGACTCAGCAAGATGGTAAAAGCAGCAACAGTTGACTATGAGAGGGAGATTGCAGCACGTTTTAACTATGACCCAAAATAACTTCATAACCAAGTTAAGCATAAACAAATGGAAAATGAAATGGTGAAATCTCTCAAAACCGATGCAGGAAAAATAACTACAAGTATGCAAAAAATTTCAAATTTACTTGATAACTATTTTTAGCCTGCATTTGTTGTTGAGCCTCTAGATCAAATGCCAAACTTCAGAGATCGAACCCAAGCAAAGTGTGATTTAAATGAAGCTACAATCACGCATGCAGCTGTATAGCAAAAACTTGAAAAACTAATCAAAACAAAATCTAAAGGTTATGACAGAATGCACCATTGTGTACTTTGCAACTGTGCTGCTGCAATCTCTGTACCATTAGCAATAATCCACCACAAGTCCCTCTCTGAAGGCAAAGTACCCAATCTATGGAAACTGTCAAATATAACACCAATCTTCAAGACAGGTAGCAGAAGGAAGCGCTCAAACTACAGACCAATATCAATAACATCAGTAACATGCAAGATAATGGAGAGCTTCATTCATGAGCAAATCATGAAGCACTGCTATAACAATTATTCAACACGGTTTTTTACCTAAGCAGGGTTGTGTGTCTAATCTACTAGAAGCTCGCGACAATCTGACAGATGCAGTACATCATGGCTATGCCATAGATGTGATATACACTGATTTTGCGAAAGCCTTCAACAAAGTGCCTCACAAAAGACTTGCAAAAACTAAAAGCTTACGGTTTATGCGGCTCATTGTTCAGGTGGATATCAAACTGGCTGGCTAATTGAAAGCAAAGGGTTGTTGTTTGCAAAGCTGAATCTGAGTAGAAAGAGGTAACTAGTGGAGTGCCTCTGGGATCGATGCTAGGACCGTTGCTCTTCATCCTCTATATTAATGACCTACCGGATAACATAGGTCACCACATCAAGATACATGCCAACAACGTGTAATCAAAACAGAGGAGGACAAAGTACGTCTACAGCTAGATATTGATAACGCTGTAGAATGGTCCAAGAAGTGGCTATTACTATTCAACCTGGACAAATGTAAATGCATGCACGTAGGTCGCTCCAACAAATCAGTCTAGGTCTACACAATGATTGATCAGATGGGAAATAGACAAGAATGGGATAACACTTCAGTCGAACGAGATCTACATGTTCTTATTTCAGAAGACTTAAAAGTCAAGCATCAAGTTGAAGCAGCGGCTGCAAGAGCAAACCAGGTACTTAGTTGGTTTAAGAAATCCTTCAGAAGTCCAGGTCTCACACTTTGGAAAGTCCTTTCCAAATTGTATGTTAGACCACACCTTGAATTCGCCATCCAATTGTGGT